GTGGCAGTGACTACACACAACCCACGTACCACGACTATGACAAATGGTGGTTAGGAACGCAACAACATTCTGTATCAATTGCAACAAAGAAACAACTCAACATCCATGAACTTCAACCAGCTAGTAACAAACTTCATTGCTAACAACTTGGATATTGCCATGAACACTATTGTTCACTCACGGTCTTTATTCACGGACCATAACTCATTGCAACTAATCTTGGTCTTTGAGATTAATAGAGAAGAGGATGAACAGAGAAAGGAGAAAGAAAATATTAAAGGAAAAGTAAAGGCAAGAAAGTCAATCATATGTGTTAGAGTTCATATATTTTATATTAGACATAAGTTAACTAGTTTAGGGTAATAGTGTAATTACTCTATGTTTTACTAAGTTATAAATAAGAGAGAGTAGGGAAACCTATCCTATAATTAATTTACTCTCTCCTTCTTTGCCTTTCTTTATTTTCTCTTTCTTTCCTAACCGTAATCCTAATATCGTTTTTTAGTGTTTCAACTTGGTATCAGAGCAATAATTTGAGGGTCTCACTCTTCGTGTCTTTGGTTGTGCTGCATTTGTTCACCTTCTTGGTCTGGGTTGGGATAAACTTTCTCTTTGTTTGTTTAAGTGTGTCTTTTTTGGGCTACTCTCGTACTTAGTAAGATTTTTGTTATTATAACCCTGTCTCTCGTTGGTATTATATCTATGTCAATGCCACATTTTTTGAGTCATCATCACTACTCTTTCCCAGATTTGATCTCTGTTAGTTAGGGGGAGCTAATATTGTCTCTTGTACCGGATGGTGTATCTTCTCCTTCTCTCGTTTCTGACCCCCCATTGCAAGTTTACCATCGTTCCACGAATAGATAGATTGTTTCATATGCCTCAGTTCCTCAGCCAATGACTTATTCTATTGAGGTCCTCCTTCCTTAATTGTCTGATTTGCTTATTGCATTACGGAAAGGTACTTGTACTTGTATCCAATATTCTATTTCTAATTTTGTTTCTTTGCACTAACTTTCCTTTGTATTTTGTTATTTTGCATTCGCCTTATCTTTTGTATTTATTCATAGCTCTTTCAAAGAAGCGTTAACATCTATTGGATAGAAACTGATTATGGATAAGAAAATTAAGGCACTTCATGACAATTATACTTGAGACCTCATTTTTCTTCTGTCTCGTAAACAGCTCGTTAGTGGTTGCTAGGTGTACCCTGTGAAATATCATACTGCTGTTTCTGTTAAGCGGTTGAAGGCACAATTGGTTGCTAAAAGTTACACCCAAACATATGGTGTGAATTACTTTAACATTATCTTGTTCATCTTAATTCAATTAGAGTTTTTATTTTTGTTAGTCATTTATTTTATTAATACAAGGCAAGTTTATTCATATTGTGATGTTGTTTAAATATTACAAACATGATATAGTCCATATAGGTTAAGGTAAGAAGATATTTTCTCAAGTGTTGACAACAAGAAACTTATCCTTCTTAGCACTTAACTTTTAAATGTTTTTATTCATAGGATTACTATTGGGCGATATGTAATCAAAATAGAATAACATACACTACACTCGTTCATATATGAAGTGTGTGAGTCACTGGTGTAGAGACACAAAACAAGTGTAGGGGTGCTTGTTTCTAATTGACCCTTGTATCTACCGGAAATAAATAATGCATTTAGACCTATAGGAGAAGGTATCCAAGTTATGTTGTTTTAGGACAGGAACAATTAGTGTGTTGTTTGAAGAAGGTATTGTATGACTTGAAATAGTCACCACGTGTTTTGTTTGTTAAGTTTGGTATCGTGGTACTTCAGTTTGGGTTTTAGCGTTCTACCTAAAATCATTTAGTTTTTGTTCGTCACTCTTTTGCAAGAGTTGTTATTGTTATTGTGTAAGTTGATGATTTCTTCATCTCAAGGCCTATTTGGAGAAGTTGTTTCATGCCAAAGATTTAGGTCCTCTTCGGTGCTTCCTAGGGACTGAGGTTGCTTGTTCAAAGGAGGGTATTCGTTTATGCCAACGAAAGTATTTACTAGAGTTATTATCTGAAACTGATACTCTTGGTGCACGTCTGATTGATATGCCTATGAACCCTATAGTTGAGCTACATCTTGACAGTGGTGAAGTCTTTGATGATATAGGGCGATATCGGCAGTTGGTTAGTAAATTGATTTTTCTTATAGTTACATGCCTTGATATTACATATGCTGTTGGTGTGGTTAGTCAATTTATGCATGCCAGTCGTAAGCCTCACTTGGAGGCTGTTTGCCATATACCATATACTTAGATATCTCGATGGGGCTCGGGAGATGGGATTATTTTACTTCCCTATGAACTAAGAAGCACGGACACGGACACGGGAAACAGACACGACGCGACATGGACACGCGGGCACGCAATTTTCTTAAAAAATAGGACACGAACACGTTGAATAAAATATAATTTTATATATTTTTGTATGACCAGAAGTTTACACATTTGGCCCATTTCACATTTTAGATACCACAAGTTAAAAGGTTGAACCAAATATATACAACTAAAATATGTGAAATACAAGCCTAGCAGTCCAAATTTGACCTCAATTCAATACAATGTAAATTGGGCCCATTAATTTAAAATTCCAAAAAGTCTGAAGCCTCTTAGGGAGGCCCGCCCACTTTAGATAAGTTGGAGATCTCACACAGTCACACGTCAAACGCCGATCTCACGGCAAGAGCCCTCTCTCTTTCTCTCCCTCTCCCTTTCCCCGTTCTCTACGACTTCTCGCCTCTCTCTTCTCCTTCCAAAAATCTGCGATTTAGTTGCTGCACTTCCTCTTTTCCTACCAGAAAAGTAATCTTTTAGGCAGCTCTTAAACAGATGGGTAATAGCCTCTGTTTATCATCATCATCTTCCTTGTGATGCAGATTTTTCCTGCTGTGGGTTTATTCTGCCGACAATGAACCCATGGGTCATGGCCATTGTTTAGCATCTTCGTCTACTTCATGCGATGAAGTTCTTTATTCGGCATCATCTATCAATGACAAATAATTGTGAGTATTTTCAATAGATTTCAAATCGCATAAATTTGTTTCAAAAGGTGTCCCGACGTGTCCGAAATTAAAAAAAAAATAAAAACAATTAGACACTCTTTTCTGTGTATCCGACACGTGTCCGGGACGTGTCTGTGTCCCAGACGTGTCGGACACGGATACGCTAGCCATTTTAACGTGTTGGTGCTTCATAGCTTATGAAGATGCTTTGTGACAATCAACAATTATTTTTATCGCAAGTAATCTAGTATTGCATAAGCGTATCAAACACATTGAGGTAGATTGTCATTTCATTCGAAATCTTTTGATGTGAAAGAAGATAATCTCTCTATATATCAAGTCTAGTGATTAGTTGAGTGACATTCTTACCAAGTCATTCACTTAGTCTACTTTCCGTAGTTTATGTTTCAAGTTAGGCATTTTTGATCTTTATGGTCCAACTTGAGGGAGAGTGTTAGAATTCATATTTTCTATATTTGACATAATTTAACTAGTTTAGGGTAATAGTGTAATTACTCTATGTTTTACTTAGTTATAAATAATAGAGTGTAAGGCAACCTAACCTACACATCAGTTTACTCCTTCTCTGCCTCCTTACATTTTCTCTTTCTCTCCTAAACGTAACCCTAATATCGTTTTTTAGTGTTTCAACCATATGCAAACCCTAAAACGTGACCGTGATACAATGAAGGAGATAGAGTCTTATAGGAAAGGAAGAATTGTGGAGAAGTTGTGTGATAGGTGGGAAGAGAATTGTTAAACTTTTTTTTTGATAGGAAGCACAATTTTATTAAGAGAAAAAAAAACGTAGGGCAAGTAATCCTTCCAAGATACAAACCATCAAAAATAGAACATAGAGAAGAAAGCAAACCAATCAATCACAAGTCGTCTTCCAATTCACCAAAATTCCAAATAGAGGGATATTTGCATACTCCTTTGAAACCGACGCCCAAAAAGTTGCTAGAAAGTGAATTCGGTTCCAAAGTTCATCAAACACTTCATACTTATCCTAAAAAATTCTTGAATTTTTTTCCAACCAAATCACCCAAATAATTGCAAAAAAAGCACATTCCCAAAAAGTGCTTCCTTTACTTTTCCTTCCAAATCCTTTATAATCCACACACAACATAGTTGAGATTGAATTCGGAACCACCCAAGAAAGCCCCGCCATTTCAAATGTACACCTAACTCTCACGTATATGTATGCAGTATCCCAATAAACGAAAGACTTGTATGCCTGTGTGTTGTATACTCCTTATTCAAGGGAAGTGTTAACAAGGTGAACAAAATTGAGGTTCATTATTGTTGTGTACTTTAATTTAATTTATGAAGTATGATTCTTCCATAGATGACGGCCATCAGTTGTGGGAGTCGAACTCCCTGTTATCTTGAAGTTTTTGTTATTTTATGGTGACTTCATTTTGATACATTTATGTTTTGATGTGTTTAATCGGCTGTGACAAGTTAACATTTCTTTCTACCAATTATGTATTGAGTTAGGGAGGGGGAATTAATATTTTATGCTACCACAACTGCAGTAGTCTAGGCTGGGTTGCAATCTCGATACCTTTTTGGAGATGACACTAACACTAGTTACGTTGTATCTCTTGAGGTTCAGAAAGAGGATCTTTTGATAGTTTTGGCCTCTGCTGTTCAAAGAGTAATCTATTGTTTTTTCTGACGTACTTTATTCACGCGTTAGTCAAAAATTCAGTAGCTGTTCTGAATTCATTTGTTGTTGGAATATCTTGGGATATCCATGCATGCTCTTTTGTAGTAGTTAACATGGGACATGGTTCTTTTGGTTGTTTAGAATCTTAGTAGAAGTTTCAATGAATTAGTGCCAACATACTAGTTCCTTGTTTTGTAGATTTATTGTATGCCTATGATGCATGGCTTCTTGTTAAAGTTTCACTCACCAGTTGTTATTTTCTTTCCGGACTTTTCTATCCTTGATTGTGGTGCCTAATGTCTCAGCAAGAGATCGATTTGCTCAAGGTGAGTTCCTCTCAAATCTGCTGTTATTATGCTGTCTTACACTGAATGTTGAAGGCAGACTGCCACTTTTTTTTACTGGTGCATGTGACATGTTTTGCACATCTAGCCTTTTAGGTTGACCCTCTGACGGATAACTTACCATTGGCTATAGTGGACAGGCTGCTACACCCCGAACCCTTGGCCATTCGGTTCTGGTGCATGTACGAAATTGCAGTCGACATTCCTGTGCCAAAATTCATAAATCCATGACTAGCATAATTTATCTCCCAATATTTATTAAAAAATCACTACTTTCCAAGCAAACTAAATACACGTATTATGGGTTAATCACCCGCTTAATAAAACTAAATATCGATATACAGAATATTCAGATATAATGCTTTCTTGTCTTGGGCATTTCGTAATCCCTACCATCCTCTCTAAAGGCTAGCCTGTTGATCCAAAAATGTTTATAACTATATTGAGCTAACAACCTTGTAATCAAACTGATTCATCCAGACCATATTACCATTTACTTGAACCATGAAACTAAGATACTTTATCTGTTAGCAGCGTCATTAATATACCTTTAATGAACAGAATAATACCATCAAGTGCGGCTATTAAAATCACACGAATGAGATATGTATACAATATAATCCCATGTATGCAAAGCAATTTCTGGCATCCAAATGTAGTATGAGACCAGATTAGAGAGTTTTGGTCCACTATTGTTCTTTATTACCTGCCATAGTATGTCAACCAAACAAACCCCAAAGCTAACTAGTTAACCCAAAGTGGTTAATAACTAGTGAGCTAAACAACTTTGTACTCGAACTAATTCACTCAGGGCTTATTATTTGAACACTGAATTGTTACAGAACGATGACAATGCCAATGGTTACAGAAATTTATAGAACAGAAACATATTCTGATTTAATCCACTTAATTTGAAGTCTAAGACATCATAAAAAATTTCTGAAAGAACTTCTTATGTTACCTCAATTGAAGCTTTATGTAAACTGCATGTACATAATCTACATGGAATACACCTGCATGAACACTCACACTGGATGCACGCCCTGATTTTACACAAACCGCCTGGATGTTCGTGCAACAATATGCTGCACACATTTTTGTCAAAGGTTTTATTTTCTAAAATAGGTAAACAAATAAAAGCAAAATGGCGTTGTTACACAGTAAGAACTTTTGATATCAGAAATTGGTCTGTCAGATTTTATTGTACTGCAGTTGTAGTGTTGTGCTGCTGGTGGATGGCATATGGGTTCACCTGATTCTTTTACTGCTTCAACTAGAAAAATGGAATTGTATAGCAATTGTGATTTCCTTCTATTACGTGGTTTAAGGCATGAGTTTTGTTACAGAATTTGAACCACAAAAACATCGTAAAATATCTTGGATCATTAAAGACGAAGTCTCATCTTCACATAATTCTTGAGTAAGTATGCTATGTTCTTTTCCACTTGTTTGATTTATTAAGTTGTGACACTTGTGGGAAACCATGGTCCAAAATCTGCATTTGTTCTTTGAGTTTTTTTTAAAGGTATGTTGAGAATGGTTCACTTGCAAACATGATTAAGCCAAATAAATTTGGAGCATTTCCAGAATCAGTGGTGGCTGTATACATAGCTCAGGTTTGTTGATGACCTCACAGTTTGATGCCTTCTTCTATATCGTTGTTGTGATGGGTTTGAATTCGTTGCAGGTATTGGAAGGCTTGGTTTATCTACATGAACAGGGTGTTATTCATTGCGATATTAAGGGTGCAAATATATTGTTAACCAAAGAGGTACTTTGCCTATAGTTTGTCTTCAGAGAATTCTGTCGCCATTTAAGCTTTATACATGGGGCCATTATTCTCCCTCTCTCTCTCATTGGCATTATGTGGGTCCCATCTGATATTCTTCTTGGCGCAATTTTTTTGATCCTATTGTACCTTTCATCTCGGAATATGTTTATTGCAAGAACATGTATGGGTGGTAACCTTAAGGCCCTTAACCCCTTTTACATGTTATGAATATGAATGTATTGCTTGTGTACTCTCAGGAGGTGTCATGAGCTATTCATTGCCAAGACAATTACATGAACATGTGCTGCATGTAGTCCTCGTTTTAGGTTCCACATGGCTAAAGATTATTGTGGGTTTGGATAAGTTTAGTTGAGTAGTCAGAGTGTGTGGGTAGATGGTAGTTAGATTTATGGAGGCAGTAGGATGGATTGGTCTGATTGGGCTTTATTGAGAATGTAAGATGAGAATAATAGTTTATTAAAATTGAAAATGAAGGTCCTTATCTGTTACACCGTTCAAGTCATTCTCTGAAAAGATAACTGTGCTTTATGGCTCTACTGGCTCATTATCTATGGCTACCTTTCCTTACAGTATCCATCTGCTTTTGGCTGTCCTCCCTGTCCACTATCCTGCAGTCTTGGTTGATGTGTGGCCAAGTTGGATTCGGGATAAAACCTTAATGTGATGTTTTAAGACTGTCCTACTATCATATAATGGTGGGATGAGGATATAAGGATGATGGAACTTTGATTTTCACAGGAGTGCTTGAAGTAAAAATAAATTAGGCAAGAGAAAAATTATTCCTCGGTTTGCCCCATTAATTGAATGTTTTAGGAGGGGCTGGCTATGACAAATTTGACCTTTGACATTATATATGCAAAATATCTGCCTCAGGTTTGATCCGACAACCTTGTGGTTATTGGCCTGAGCATGTTATTACTGCAATAGGCAATGAGCCATGACCATAGGCAAGAGAAGTATAAGAAGGAAAAAAGGATAGTGCTATTGATCTATGTTATTCAATTGCCTCTACTAAGGCTAGTTCAAAGCTGAATAGAAGCTATTTGATTTTGAAACTTCTAGAAGATAAAGTAATAGAATTAACTGCAAGCAAATAAAGGGCTACACCAAATAATAAGCAAAAATGTTACTTACCTAGACACTAAAATCAGAATTTAAAAAGGGCTCGTGGTTAAAATTTCATAGAAATAGTGTCGAAAAGCATGTTTTCACTATTGGAAACTTCCTTGGTAATGTCATTTGGAAAATATTTTGTGAGTTGGGAAGGATATAAGAGCTGTTTGGTAACCAATTGCCATAATGGGAAAATAGAAAACTTGTTTGGACAGATTTTCCTGGATTAACAATATACATATAACTAGTAGTACCATCTATAGTTGTTAGTATCGTATGATACACAATACTTATTATATGTTTTGATACAGTGAGAAAACGATGTGGCAAGACCTGTTTATTTAATTTTCTACTCTAAATAGTGAAACGATGTCGTTTCGCAAGATATTTGTTTACCCTAAATAGAGAATGATGTTGGTTCATAAATTATTTTCCTTCTTGGTTTGATCTCAAACAGATGAAGCATCCCCTCTTGTTTCTATTGCTTCTTATTCTACTTCGTCAAAATGACGAAACCCTAGCAATTTCTATCTTTATCGCGAAGGCGAAGGGTTACCTCTTTTTTGGTCTCTATTGCAAACACGTAGTCCCCGAATTAAATAGCAAGTTGAAATGACATTTTTATTATTTTGGACACTATATGTATATATATTTCTAGGTATTCAAATTTATTGATATAATTTATAAAAATTATCAGGATCATACCATACACGATGCGTTATGCGTATTATTTTAAGAATACATGTTGCAATAACCTTAGTACCATCTGAATATGAACACCGTATTTCATATCTCAATCTACTCCAATACCAATTGAAAATCTCGGTAACCCTTAGTAAATTTTGATACCTAGAGCTTGGTTAAACACTGAGACACTTTAGACTGAGACTTATGGAGAATTATTCCAAATATTAAACTTAGTCTTTTACGAATTCAACAAGCAACTGTAATAATTGTCATAGATTCAAGATAATCATAGACTATGCGATTGTGATGATATTAGTAGAAGAGTTCAGCTTAATCCACCAGTAAATATGTATAGGCAAATTGCTAATGTCTATTATGTCTTTAGATATATCTCACAATTGAGATTTTCCAATCAAGCAATCAATCTCCCGGAGACGAGTGATTCTTTACGTGGAATCCCCACCAAGGAAAAACCATGAGACCTTATCCGTATTCACTCTGCCCACCTTCCTTCATCTTTTACCCCTCCCTTGAAAGCTTCCTTTCACATTCGACAAGCATTCAAATATGATCAACAATCTCCCATATTCATTTACTATAACTCATGTGGGCATCGACCAATGTGTGTTGACCCATCTCTTGACCAGGTTTGCCGATTGTGGTAGGTCCTTGTGCCAACCTCCTAGTTGAAACAGTAAAGTTAATATTAAGATTAAAGAAAGTTAGACAAAAAAAGAAAAAGTAAGAAGAAGAGGCAGAGAGAAAATAATAAGTTGTGTGGCCCAACTCCCTCTTATTTATATTAAACAATATCTCGGGCAATTATAATATTATCCTACATCAGCTTATGCTCATAAACATAAATATAAAACATAAAAATAAAAACTCTAACGCCACCCTTCAAGCTGGATTATGAAGATTAAAAATGTCCAGCTTGGAATAAAGATTATTGAAGGTAGAATGACACAATGGCTTGGTAAAAATGTTACCTAGCTGATTTCTAGACTTGATATTGAGGGATAATTTCTTTTTGCATCAGAAGATCCTGAATAAAATGACAATCCACTTCGATGTGTTTAATGCCTCATGAAATACTGAATTACTGATAATAAAAATTGTTGCCTGGTTATCACAATGCATCTACATAGGAGAGGACACACTAATACCCATATTATGAAGTAGTGAATGCACCCACAACATTTCACATACCGTGTGAGCCATAGTTTGATACTCTGCTTTTGCACTTGAACGCACAACTACATTTTGTTTCTTACTACGCCAAGTAACAAGGGTATCACAAAAAATGTGCAATAATCAGAAGTAGATTGTCTATCAATACGACTACCTATCCGGTAAACATTAGAAAAGCCAGTAATAGTCATACATGGTAAAGATTGATATAATAATCTTTTTTTGAGTGTTTCTTTAAGATTCCGATGGATGTGACATGTAGCTTCCCAGTGAGGCTTGCAAGGAGCATGCATAAACCAACGAATCATACCGACTACAAATGTATTATTAGGACGCGTAACTATGGGATAGATTAGTTTACCAACCAACTTTGATAGTGCCCTATATCATCAAATTTTTTCCACTTTTAGCATCTAACTTAACAGCAGAATTCATAAATTCGATACGTACTTTCTTTGGCATAGATTGATACCTTCCTTTGATCAAGTAACCTCAATCTCAAGGAAGTATCGAGAAAGACCTAGATCTTTAATATGAAAATTGTTTCCGCCGATGGAGTTTAAAGTTGGCAATATGATCAGAATCATCACCATTAATGATAATGTCACCAACATATAAAATAAGAATTATATTTCCCCGGGTAGAATTAGACTATAATAGTTCAAGCGACATAACTTGGAGGTTGAACCATGCATACCTCTTGCTATAGATCTCATGTAAAAAACATTCATTATGTCCAACTGGTAAAAAGGTTAATCAAGATAAGTCATAACTAAAATAAGAACTCTAACAGAGTTAAGTCGAGTAACAAGAGAAAATGTTTCATAATAATCGACACCATATGTGTGGGTGTAGCTTTTGAGTTTTGACAATTGACCAGGCCTTTAAATGCTCGATAAAGCCGTCGAGGTGATATTTCACATTGTAGATCCAATGACAACTAATAAACTGCTTTTGAGGAGGGAGATGTGAGATCCTAAGTCTGATTCTCATGAAGAGATTTCATTTTCTCATCCATAGCCAGTTTCAATCTAGTAGATGCCAATGCATGTGTCAAAGAATTAAGAACAACCATAGATGACAAGGTAGATACAAAGCAAAAGAACGATGAGGAAAGCCGATGAAAGGAAATAAAATTAGAAATAGGATTTCTGTTACAGTTACGAGTACCTTTTTAATGTGCAATAGGCAAGTCCAAAGAGGAGGAAGTAGTAGAAGGCTCAGAAGGAAGGACCTCACCAGAATCAGGTGATGGCTGAGGAGCGAGAGCATAGGACACAACTTGTCTGATCTTGAAACGCTGAGAAACATGCAATGGGGGGTTAGCAGATGAAGAAGGTACACAATCTGGTATGATAGTTCCCTGTGACTAGCAGAAACCAAATATGGAAAATAATTATGTCTTGAAGTAAGAAAGTAGGGAGACGACTCAAAAAAAAAGGTAACATCGGCATTGACATAATATCGGTGAGAACCCGAGTCATAACATTGGTAACCTTTTCGAGTATGAGAATATCTCAGAAATATACACTTGACCGAGTGGGGGAAAAGTTAATTTCGACCTGGACCAAAAAGATGAACAAGCACAACACAACAAAAGAGAAGAGTCGGACCAAATAGAGGTGTAGTAGGATAAGACATTGAGAAGAGAGATTTATTACTTATGATAGAGGAAGACATCTGATTGATAAGATAAATGGAAGTAAGAACATCTGCCTAATAGTGGTTCGGAGTTAGGAATATGCATATAAAATATTATAGTATGAGTTACATCCAATATATGACGATGTTTACGTTCAACAATACTATTTTGTTGGGATGTATGGCGACAAGAAATTTGATGAATGATACCATGGTCAACACAAAAAGAATGAATACATGATTGAACATACTCAAAAGCATTGTCACTAAATATTTTAATTCGTTTATCAAATTGCACCAAGATTTCATTATAGTACGAGTTACATCCAATATATGATGATGTTTATGTTCAACAATACTATTTTGTTGGGATGTATGGCGGCAAGAAGTTTGATGAATGATACCATGGTCAGCACAAAAAGAATGCATACATGATTGAACATATTCAAAAGCGTTGTCACTAAATATTTTAATGCGTTTATCAAATTGCACCAAGATTTCATTATAGAAGGTGGCAAAAATCTTAGGTAATTTAGAACGATTTTTAATAAGAAAAAACCAAGTCATTCGAGAGAAATAATTGAGAAAGATAACAAAATACTGAAATTAAAAGTACTCTTTATTCTTATAGGACCCCAAATGTCTGAATGAACAAGTTTAAAAGGACTAAACTCCCGATTATTATTATTACTAGAGAAAGAATTACGATGATATTTGCCCAATTGACAATTCTCACATTCTAACATAAAAGAGAGACTCAAACTAGGAAGAACTTGAAGAAGTTTCTACTAAGAATGATGTCCCAATTAGAAATGCAACTGGAGTGGAGACTGTTGCACTCCAGGTAGGTATTGATTCTCTAGAATCCAAGTAATAAATGTTAAACCTAGATGAGAGAATTACATATCTCAGCGGAATAGGATACTTACCTCCCGCCATGTCGTTCAAGCCTTATTACCTTAAATTTTGAATCACTAGCCTTGTTGATTAAGCACTCACAAGAAAAACTAAACACTCTCACTGATACTTTATGGAGGTGTGAGAAAAAGGGTTTCCAACTTGGCCTACGTTCAGAATAGGCTGTATTTCAGTTGACATTCACATGTCTTTATTTATAAGCAAGTCAGGGACCCCAATCTTTATCACTTAGATAGATTGACTTTATCAAGTTCCTGCTATCAAGGACTTTGAAACTAATCTGATAACCACAACTAACCTGATGACCACAAATGGTAGATTGACATAATCTCAATTACCAGATTTTGACTCAAAATCATCTATATAATTTATAAATATAATATTATTATAAAAACTAATGTGGTATGTGGGCCACTTCAAGTCTCCTAATGGAGACATGCTAACAATAAAGACTATTCTGCTCATGCCCAAACCAATCACCTTCTTCGTTTGGGGGTCTTTAAAAATACAAGAAGATGGAGAAAATATTATAGAACATTGTAAAAATTTAGTTAACTAACAAACAGATAGCAAATTAAAAGGAAAATGGAGAACAAATAAACCAAAGGTTTAAGGCATGGATTTAGTGGGATGAAGATTGCTAGTTCCATGCACTGGGCAAAGGGAACCATTAACCAATATAATACGAGATTTAGAGGGTTGGAAATTAGAAAACACGGAGGAAATACCAAACATGAGAGCACTAGCTCCTGAATTAATGATCCAAGAAGGTTCTTCTCAACTTTTCTAGGGTTATGTGTGGTTTGGTCACTTCAATTGAAATAGCTTGTTAACAAACCACATGGTGCGGGACCTATTCATGAATGAGCATACTGCTAAGGGCTTGGGTTGATTATAGACATCAGCATTTTCAAATTTCATAAAAGTGTCCAAATATTAGTTTTTTAGCAATGTGAGTTTTATCTACTTGGTATGATATTCTTTGGCGATCGGAAAGCAAGATGTTATGTGGATTCCATTAGCAGGTTTTCATAATACCCTCTCTCTGCCGAGTTAGTTTTTGGTTATGGAAAACATTCTGTCATATGATGAGCACTTGTGACATGAAAGAGAAAGTTCATGTGCTGATGAAAAGTTTGACTAGTATCAACTAATCGTGTTAGGTTAGGCTGGTAATAGGTTTTAGTTGCATGTGGAGATTGGGATATTAGTCGCCTGGTGCTATGCTTACTAACCAGTACCTCATGATAAATGAAGGAGGAGATTTTTTTTGGTTTTGGAAGTTGATGGTCAATACGCAACTCCTCTTATCCTTTTAATTTTATTACTTGGCTAGATGCAACTGGAGGTGCTAACGACATCTCACCTGAGGCATTTAGCTAACAGATACTTTATTTTTTCCAAGAGTAGGGTTTTCTGTCAGCTGTTCCATGTGGCTGTCCATATGCTTCCTTTTTAGTTTCGATTCTTTATTCATTTCGTTTGTGTAATGATTTTGCTTTGGTAGATTGTATAAGTAATGTAGTATCTTCTCTTTACCTCTCTATGTGTCTGGCCCACCTCTTTGTTTCTTTTTTTTTTTCCTCCTTTTTTTGGTTTAGTTTTTTATTTTTTAAAGGCTGGGTTTGCACACTTTCTGAACTAATTCATGCTTTCAGGGTCTAGTGAAACTGGCAGATTTTGGGGTTGCAACGAAACTTACCGAGGCAGATGTTAACACACACTCAGTTGTTGGAACGCCATATTGGATGGCGCCTGAGGTATGTCTCTTATCATCATACTTGTATCTCTATGTTGTTTGCGCTGATGCTTGGTGTGTTCTTATTCAATGCCTTAATAGATTGTTTTTCTTCCCCCCTAAAAACTTGGATAATTTCTTCAATTCTTCAATCGATTGGAATCATTGGAATTGCTGTTGGTAGTTGTTTTTGTTGGCTGAATCACATGAGGTAGATTGGGTGAATCACATGGTGGAGTTGTCTGTGTTGCAAAAACGAACCGAAGTAGAATATGATGTCTGATTGAGTGTGGGCTGTATTGAGTGTGAGAGCTGCCTTAGTGTGCTGTTTGTTTCTCTTTCTCTTATTTGGTTTCTCTCTTTCAGGAAGGATCTCTCATCCTTTCCCTTGTACTTCTTTATTCCTTTTACTAAACTTATTTTTGTTCTAAAAACAGGATAATTTGGTTTCTATAAAATGTGGCTCACTTGACTGGGTTGATTCATGTTGGAGACCTGTGTATATTTATTACACACTGGAAGCCTTGTTTACCATTTTGGGAATTTTGAATATCAGAAACAATTAGAGATCACAGACATGGTCATATGGCCAACTTGATACACTATTACGAGATCTCATTATGTCTGCTTTGGTAAGTAAGGAGATGCAACAGAAGTAGAAATATTACAATTTTAAGCAAATCTATTTTTGTTCATAATTTGATGGCTAGAGCTGGTCTGTCTTGTATGTTTGACCTATCCTTATCTCATATGCTAACTCTGTGTCATCTGGAAAAAAATCTATTGGAAATAAAGCAAATAATGGGTAAGATAACTAGATTATAGCTTCCTCTAATGTTAGGCAAATTTAACACCCGAAGGAGTAAGTAGAGATGAGCAATATATGTCCTAAACCAAATAAATTAAACAAGGAAACAAATGTTTCATGCAGGAGGCTACATTTACAGTGCACAGATGCTTGGCTCCCAGTGTGCCAGGGTTGAGCTCTTATCTTGTTGGTGCTGTCCTAATACAAATTAACCTTTGAAAAACAAGATGCGTGGATGGAAACATGATTGTATATTGTGAACTAGCTAGTGATCCAATTACATGGTTTGAAAGGGTAGTACAATAGTCTCATATTTGTGGTGCTGCATCAAGATGTATATGGGTAGTCTTATGATTACAATTAATTGATGTTTCAGGTGATCGAAATGTCGGGAGTTTGTGCTGCATCAGACATATGGAGTGTTGGCTGTACTGTGATTGAGCTTCTAACATGTGTACCTCCGTACTATGATCTCCAGCCCATGCCAGCTCTCTTTCGGATTGTGCAGGTTTTGTCATTTGTCCTTTCTGTTGTATTCATCATCTGTTCTTAACATTGGAAGCATTAGTGCCATTGAATACTATGGAAATTTTATTGTTGTTACTCTATTTTCTTTGTTGTTGTTGCTTGAACTGCTTTGGGTTCCTCTTTTTTCCATTGCAAAAGATATCATCAAGAAATACTAGTTATTCTCTGCAACTCGGTAGAGAAATGTCTTTAAGATTATTAAATATGGCCATATTACTGGGTCATTGAATGGAATCCTATTTTTGCAGGATGAGCATCCTCCAATACCAGATAGCCTGTCTCCTGCCATTACGGATTTTCTGTGTCAGTGCTTTAGGAAGGTGAAGTGGAGCAAACATCAACTCTAGACTTACTATTTTAATGTCATCATGCTAACAGTCACTGAATTGTGGTTTTTTTCTTACTTCAGTCTTATAATTACTTGTCAATTCACCTCTTTCCATCCTTTGTTTATTTTCAACGAAAACAATAAGGAGGAGGTGATCACCTCCTGGGCAGAAAGAGACCAAGGGAGACACAATAAGACAGGTCAAACGAGTGAAAATGAAAGCTAAGAAATGGGGAGACCTACTTTAGCAGAGGCGCATCCCTTCCCCTTTTCTTTTCCATTTATGCAAGCAACACTGTTGAACATATCTCCAAACATTGTGTGATGTCTCGACTTACATAGTACTCGGTGTGGCTGAATTTTTTTATGTGCTGCACACGAGCTAATGTTAGGGTCCTGTTACACCATCTATAGTGTAAAATAGTAAAAGCCTTGAACAGAGAATTACTTTTTAGATACGCAGTTCTGGTGGGATGTAGGCAAGTTAAACAGCTTTTGCAAGTCCTGAAATGGATTTCGTGTTTTAGTTTGGTTCAACCACATATTTTGATAAACTGACACCCTTAAAAATTAGTCTGAGGGAGCCTGATACTTCAGTTCATTTATTCCTAGGCACGCCAGATATTGGGCTGCCCTTTTTTTAATTTGGAGCTGATGGTTCTTCCTTCTGTGTTAATATATTATACTGTTACTTGGCTTTCCAATAAGAAACCAAACTTGTGGAGAACTTTGGTTGCCAATTTGGGGCTGAATCTGGGTCCATTCTTCGGAGTTCTCCATAACATTTAGTAGCATGTTTCAGGATGCAAGACAGAGACCCGATGCAAAGACATTGCTTTCGCATCCTTGGATCCAGAACTCGACAAGACGTGTTTTGCAATCCTCTATGCATCATAGTGGAACGATGAGGTACATATCGTGAACCTTCCAGACACCACTTATTCTGTCTGTGTGTGTTTGTTCTTTGAATGCCAGGCTCACCTTGGGGTAAGAAAAGGAGAACTATATCTGTGAAATTCATTGAGTGATTTACTTTTAGCTACCTGAGTTAATTCAAAGAGTTTAATTATTAGTTGGGGTTTGGGAACGTCTCTATTTCCCTACTAGTGCACTACTTCCTTTTGGTTGTATACCTAATAGGGAAAGTATGTACTCAATAATTCTCTGCTCTCTTCCCCAACTTTGTTTTAATTTGATCCTTAGTTTTTCTCACGAAGTAAAGTTCTGGAAAGTTCAATTTGACCTCCCTATGGTTTGATCCCATAGCAATTCACCTCCCTATGATCAAAACTGTAATCAAGTAATTCTCATGTGGTGTTGGAACCATAGTTATCAAATCGCGTATCGGAATGTGTATCGTTTTTAAAAAATAGTGTATCGTATCGTGTATCTTAAGATACGCTCAATTTTAATTTTTAAATAATTATTAATAATATATATATACTTTTGTAAAAAAATTAAAGACTCATAATAACATAGCATTTCATTAATATTCCACCAACTATTCAAGTTTTCAACATAGTTCAATAATATCAAAATGTAAAGACCTCTAATTCAAACTTCTAACATTGACTGCTTGAACTACCTTAATATTAATTAGGAATTTTGAATTCAATTGAACAACATTAGCAACAGGCTTTATTTTATTTTTTTTAAACCATAACCATTGAAACGAAGTTGTTTCATTGGCTAGTGATTTAAAAATAAGTTTTAAGGTAAAATAATATCATTTCAACCCTGAAAAAAAAAAAAAAAAAAACAGAATCGTCACGTATCAAACATATCATATTGTACGTACCGTATTGTGTATCGTACGATACAGTGTAAAAACGATACAGAGGCACGATAGGTATCGTTTTTCAAGTGTATCGTAATGTATCGTACGATACGTTTCGCGTATCCTATGATACTAATAAGTATAGTTGGAACGAAGTCCCACCGGACCAAATTCACCCAATGTGATGGCACATGTGACAAAGACACCCTTAATTGTGACCGAGACAACCTTAATTCGTGAGTTGGTGGACCAAATATGTTTCCCGCCCAAATTAAATACAAAAATTAACAATGTCCGTGAAGGCTCATGCAAAGACAAAATATCCTTCTTTAGCTTATATTTGGTCCACGATCTGCACTTTACCAACTGAATCTTTTTCCTCTTAAGATACAAAAGTCTAAAGCCTTCCATCTCTCTCACGTTCTCTCCTCTCAATATTCTCGGTGTTGAGATGTGTTTGTCTTTTACTGTAACTCTAGTTATTGGAGGATGATTGAATTTCTGCCACTTTGTGGCCATCCATTGTGATGTGGGTAGTTATTAGACTCTTAAAATTTGTTGGGGCAAAAGAAAAGGATATTCGTTTTTTCTCTTTTTTGATAGGTTTTTCGCATAGGACCCAACTAGGTTAATGCTCTTTCTTTTTCTTTAGTCACAATGTTAGACCATTGAATCTTCTCATTTTCTGTTTAGTATTCAATGATCTTTTTTCAAGTTTATTCAATTATGATCCTCCTTTGCCTACTTTTTATTTCACGTATCTTACTATCTTTGGTTTGAGAATTCCAAAATTTATGGGGTATTATTGGATTAATGGATAGTTGGAGTCTTCAACTTTTATAGAGGTATTTATTTTTTACTTGCGCATATAAATTTTTTAGGAAGTTGGATGCATTGTGGACATGCTTAATCTTTTTATATAAGTTTTTCTTTGACGTACTTGTCTGAAATTTTATAATTTTCTAAAATACCTATTAATTGTAACAATTTCTTATTTCAATTACATGACCGGTCCAATCAGTCTACCCAATGATTGAACCAGTAATCCATTGACCCATTATTTTTGCCGAGTTCATGTTTGGGCTTGGTTTAAAAATTGTGTTAGGTTCAAGTACAGTCAAGTCATTTGATCTCCGAGTGATCTACACCTTTTGAACTCTTTCCTTGGGTGGAGTAATGAACAAAACAAGACCACATCAAGCTGGTGGGGGTGGGGCCCCTGTTTACCAATAATGTTCTCCTCACCACCATGTAGGCCCTGCCTTTGCAGTGCTGCATATTTGTGGGTCTATCTTTGTTTGACTAGATCTCTGCCACCGGTGCAGATGGTGACTAGCTTCCCTTACATTTCAGCACAGAATAGTCCTTAATAGTCCAAAAATTTTCTTGTGGCATCCATCTCAGGGCACTAACTCTGGCATTAAATTTTAGCAAGAAGAGAACAAGCCGGACTAGGATTAAATGTTTCAGATGAAAGAAATCATATAAAACACTAAGAACTCATTTGGTTATTGTATCGTAGAAAAATAGGTTGTATTAGGTAATACGGGTTAATTTTGTATTAGTGGATAAAATGCAAGATTAAATATGATACAAAGATATTACCCATTGTAATCTAGTGTATTGTAGTAAGACACAGAAGTAAGAGGGGGATAGTAGATTACTAATATTGACCAAAAAAATATTAATTTTAGTTTAGTTATTCATGTTTTTTGTTTATTTAGTGGCCAAAATAGTAAATTTATAACCTAATGCACTAGAACTAGATTTTAATACCATATCTCCTGGTGGTATTATAATCGGCTCAATAGGACGGGTATTGCATATTTTTCGTATTCGTATTTGAAATAAGCCTATATATAATATGAAATGTTTTTGACAACCAAATGCAGTATAAGGTTGGATTAGAGAGTTCTAATCTATTGTGATTCTGTAATCCACCATGGTTTTGAATAACGATAACAGCCATCGTAACGATAACGATAACGTTGTAATGGACGCGGGGTGAAACGGGTGTTACGTAACGGTAACGGAAACCGAATGCGTGAATTTTTTTTTTCAACTCACAACCTCCCATAAAACATGAATATTGACATGTTTCAATTTAAAATCATACAAATATGGGTGTTTAGTGATTTAATGCATTTTATTGTATCATAAATATGATAATAAAATATCATAAGTATTAATAATATTTCTTAAGTCACTATGCATCAGTGACCTTTCCATTAGCAACAATTGAACAAATAAAATGCACAATTACAAATCTAACAATTTATTAAATGAAACATATTGATAGAACCAAAATGATTTTTAGAATTGTACAATACAATAAAAAAGAGAAAGCAATAGCATTACTTTTCAACAATCTCACCACCAAAAAGAACGACGCGGAGGATCCAAACATTGAGATTGAGATTGAGATTGAGATTGAGATTGATCTTGGTTACTTCCACTATCATCATTCTATCCAGTAGGTAACATATAAGTAAATGTTCAAAATTCAACTCCATCTTGTCGTGGCTGCTCTTCATATGTATGCAATATCAAGTAATTGTTAGGGTTCAAAAGCCCTAAAGAATTATCTTGGGGATGTAACGGTGGAGGGTAGTGTTGAGGAGAATAACTATAAGGGTAAGGTCTATAATTTCCAGCTGGATAGCCTGATGAGTGGTAGTTTTCATTACCACTACCATATGATGAATCACTAAGGGTCAGATCACTCAAACTCTGCATAACACTAGACGAGGAATCTTCATATTCATACCAATTTTTCGTATTTCTGCTGGATTTTTTTCCACGCTGTGATTCTTGACCATAAGCTTCTAGATCAACTCTAATCGCACTAAGTCCATGATCCCCGAGAAACGGTGAATCATGACAATGACCACTAGTATCACCCTGAGCTAGAAGGTTGCCCTTACAATTATAACTATAAATTTGGGTTAGACTAGCAACCCGATGACCCCCATCACCATCATCATCACCACCACCATCACCATCACCATCACCATCACCATCATTGCCACTACCACCACCATTATCGCTTTCAGTCGGCGCAGGACTAGAATCAGAGCCTTGGTTATCAAGTGACTCAGAAAGAGGTATGCATTCATTATCATCATCTTCACCAAAAGAATTCATCCAAGAGCGAGTTTCCTTATCTAAGGGCATCAATGGTTCTTCCCTTTCTTCTAACCATAGATTCAGGGGATCATCTTCATGAAATATGTAATCCAAATTAATAGGATTAAAGCTATTCTCAATCTCTTGCTGGTTCTTTCGCACAGTATGCCTAATTTTCAATTCATGTTATAGTGAATGAAAATAAGCTTTTGGAGTTTAGCATATTTCAACCTGTTTCTCGTCTTGGTGTGAATAAGACTCCATGTGCTCCAATTACGCTCACAACCAGAAGATGAAGTAGTCTGACTTAGTACCTTAACTGCTATACTTTGAAGCTCAGGAGCACATGAGCCATAAAGAATCCACCATTCAGCTGCATAAAATAAATTTGGATGAATTCACAAATGAATAAATATACATTGACTACATATTATAAATTGTAACCTAGCTTACCAGGATTTATTTTGTTAATTGCTGTTTGTGCAATATTTGATCCAAATGTTTCTGCTTTATCCCGAAACAAAAACATCTACATATATTATAATTGTGAAAGAACGTGTATTAGATAACATGTCATTCAAATAATAAATAAAATTGCAAGTAAACAAGCACTGCATACATGATTTATTGCCTTAATCTGACATTCAATGTTCGGCTCCAATCTTTATATTACTTTCTGCGTTCCATCCATTGTTTCTCGGAACGTCTCCTTAGAGCTGGTAGTAGTATACTGGCATTGTGGATTTAAGAAGTAACCTACTCATATATAAATATTAATTTTTAGTTCATCATGACTACTTATTTATCCACACACATAACATGTAAATTTCATACAAGTAATGAAAAACATAATTTTGTAGTCCATACGTACCAGCAACATGCAAATCTTGATGTAACTGAACAGACCACCGACGATCAATAATCTTCCAATAGTCAACCCAATATCAAGAATCTTTTTTAATAGCCAACTTTGTTCGATCTATTGCTTCATATATAAAACCCATTGTAGGTTTCTCATC